CAGGAAGTGACGGAAAGCGATACACTTCCGGCTGTTTGTTGGAAAAGACGGCTTGCGTTCAGCAGAAGAGGATTCGCGTCGAGAGTTGTGGTGAGAGAGGAATCGATCGCAGAGTCGATGCGATTTGAGGTCAACTCTGCTTTCGAGGCATTCATTCGTGAGATTCAAAGCGAACTCTCATTACAACAACCAATCGATAGACAGACAAACAAATGAACCAAAACTCCTCTCTCTTCTAGACCTCCGCTGTGCACACATCCAGTGCCCCGAAGATGTCGACGCGCCCGGTCTGTCGCCTCCATAGCTGTCCGGCCCCCACTCTCTCACTGACCGCTCTCTCGCTCTCTTTTGTCCGCAGTTTGTGCGGAAGACAACCGCAGCTACGCCTCTGAGTGTGAGTTGCGTCGCCAGAGCTGTAAAACGCGAAAGACTTGGATTCGCGTCAAACACAACGGCCTTTGCCTCCAACACCAGTGCGCGCACCACCTCTGCCCCCAACCCCACGCTCTCTGCCACCCGCACCCCCTCGGCCCCCAATGCCAGTGTCCCCTCTGCCAGCCCTCTCTCGCGCGCGTCTGCGCTTCCGATCATCGCGTCTATGACAGCGAGTGTCACTTGAAACGGGAAGCCTGTCTATCGGGCAGACGTGACCTTCGGGTGCTTCACGCGGGTCTCTGTGGCGACAAATGCCGGCAAACGGGATGTCGTTTTGGCGCCCAATGTCTGGACGGCGAGTGTCGTTGCGTTTCCTGCAAAAGGTCTCTCTCTCTCTCTCTCTCTCTCTCTCTCTGACGCCTCTCTCTCTCCAACAGTGACGTCAAGAGTGTCGTCTGCGGGACCGACGGTAAGTCTCGGCAATAAGCAGTCCTTTCCTATAGTCTGTTACGGAATCTCAAGGAAATTCTTACGACAACGAGTGTCTTCTGCGGAACCACTCTTGCCATCTGGCGGTCGATATCCGAGTCAAACACAACGGCTCTTGCGTTGCGCCGCCGCCCGAAACCTCCCTTTGCCCGCAATGTCCGCAAAACGCCTTCGAACCCGTTTGCGCCAACGGTGCGTCTCTGCCCGCCCTCTCCCTCCCGACCCCCTCTCACGTGTTCTTTGTGTCTCCCCATAGATGGCATTACTTACTCTCATGAATGCCAACTTCGCCGAAACGCTTGTCTGCTCGGCCGAGATCTGACCGCGTGAGTGAGACGCCATCTCTCGGCGGCAATCAATGCAACTCTCATTCAAACTCTGTTTCAGTTTATTCTACGGTCAGTGCGATGGAGACGACGACCGCGACGACGGATCCGCTCACGAGATGGCGCTTCACTTCACCCAAAACTGTGCCAAAGATTGTCTATTCGGCGCCCAATGCGTGGTCACCGCCGAAGGAGAGTCGCGTTGCGAGTGTCAGGTGAGAGACCGTCCGCCATCTCCTCATTTCTGACGCCTTCCGCCTCTCTGTCCGCAGTTCCGCTGTTCCGCAGTCGTGGCCGTCGTTTGCGGACAAACCGAAGACAACGAAATGCGTTACTATGACAACGAGTGCCGCCTTCGCGAAGACAGTTGTCTTCGTCAGAAACGGGTCCGTCTTTGCGAAGAGTGTCGCTGCAATCGCTTCGGAAGCCAAGAACCGCTTGTTTGCCACCAAAAGCAATGCAAATGCAGAAGAGGTGAGTCCTATAGACAACTGGCGAACCTTTGCTCACAAAATGCATGTCTCGGAAGGCGTTGGCGGAGAGCGTTGCGATCGCTGTGAACCCGCATTCTTCGCGTTCGGCCAAAACGGATGCGTCGGTAAGTGGACTCTCGGTGTCCGCACTTCCGCTCAATATATATAAACTCAAGACTTTATAAAATCTAACGGTTGTTGTAGTCAATTACAATTTATATAGAATCATAGTTTTTTGGCACCAATAATCTGTTATGCTACATTCCATTTCAAAATCATTGTAGGGAAAGGTGTTTATCTCAAAAAGTTCTATTAAAGTTCAGATTTTGGGAAATGATGAGCGAGGTCTTTCCTAGAAAAGTAATTTCTGGATTTGTCAACATTTCGTTGATTTTTAATAATTTTCTAAATACTAAAATTGACATTTTTAGACTCATTTATCTCAGCAATAGATGAATGGTTCGAAAGATCTTTGAATATAAAAAATAATTTGCACCAAAAGTGATACAATAATAACCTTTTATTATTTTCCTATGCAATTAATTTGTCACTTAATTACATCAATCTGATTGCTTTACCTGTAATAATAACTGTACAAAAGCTAGATTTTATAAAGTTTTGTGCCGAGAGTTTTGGCGAGAAGTTTATAAACCATATATTAATCTGTTGTTCCGATAAATCCCCAAAAAGACTGCAATTGCGATGCTTTTGGTTCCGTTCGCTCCGAT